GGAATAAAGACTTTACCGTAAAGGCAGACAAGACATGCGAGTCTAAAAACGTTATTTACTGTATTATATGCAGGATGTGGACAATTCTATATTGGGGAAACTGGAACCACACTACGTACACGTATCCGCATACACAAACAGCACATTAACAAACCTGAATACCATAAAATAAATGTAAGCAGACATCTTGATATTTGTGGCCGGGTACAATTTTCAGTTTTTCCATTTTACCAACTTTATACAGACAATGTGGTGCAAAGACGAGAAAAGGAGACATACTTTATAAAACTATAATGCGGGGAAAACTATATTGGACAGACCAGTAACAAACTAGCTGACCGTGTAAGAGTCCATAAACAACAAATACGAGACCCCTCCGTCAGGAATACACCCTGCAGTGAACATTTTGATTCATGTGCGAATGGAAACTTTTTGATATTTCCATTTTATAAAATCACAGAAGATAATGAACAATTACGGAGGGCCAAGGAAGATTATTTTGTTAAATTATTTCAGCCTAAATTAAATGTAAATTGAACATTTTAGCTCTAAAGAAATAGTCCATTTTATTACAATGTACATGTGTTTAACTCTATACATTTGGCGCTTTTTTGACATTTACCTGTGCCAATGTATAACGCTGCCTTTGTGACGTCATAATAACGACGTCATAACAACGAAGTTGTATTGTTTTTATTATCATTGTTACACTCTGAAGAGCCGTAACGGCGAAAGCGCTTAGTGTAAAAAATTAAACGAAAACTTGTTTGTTTATCTTGGATTTAATTTTGATTTATAACTTAACCTATACCATGGACTTCTACAACATTTTCCCTATATATATATATATATATCATTATATATATATATATATATATATATATATATATATATATATATATATATATATATATATATATATATATATATATATATATATATATATATATATATATATATATATATATATATTTGTATTTAGACATGGTTTTTAATTCTTAATTATGAAAAAAAAATCATTCAAAAATCATATCCTATATCAAGCATTACTAACAACATGAAATATATTTAACCACAGTTTCACACAAAGGATATCATGTCTCGGTTTATACGGTATTCTAACTTTTAAGTGCGGCTTTCCGATCTCTTTTTAATACCGGAACGTGAAATCATACTATCGATTGAAATATTTTATATAATTATGGATGTATTCATTCAATAATAAACAAATGATGATCCACTCAGAGCACCCAAAAAGAAAACTTATTCCACGAATCAGATATAGGAATGTTTTACATTCTATACTCATTATTATTTAGTGTTTGTTTATTTGTTGTTGTTACTTAAAAAATTCCAAGGAACTTTTGGACAATTTGAAATCACAAGATTTTTTACCAAAATCAACAGCTTAAAAACTTACGAGTTTTCAACTTTCTTCACAACCAATAACCACGATGATATAAAACCATGCTTTTTAATATTTTTGACAGCTGCTTTAAAAAATGGAACTCGTTAATTTACTTACCTGATCATTGGTTATTTGCAAAATTACTTTGGTATAAACCATTCTGATTGTACACACAAGTACGCTGAAGTTAACATCAAAGAGATGCTTGAAATTCTGATTGACAATGTCATTGTTGTTTTTGGAGACTAGGTATTCCAACAATGTATTGGAGTTCCCATGGGTACCAATTGCCCCCGTGACCTATTTTTGTGTTCATATGAAGCAGAATTTGTCCAAAATCTCATGTGTTAAAAAAGAAAACACTTGTATATCCGTCAGATCGACATTTAGATATATCGACGACGTATTGTCAATTAACAATGGGAATTTCCATTTTTATGTCGATACGATATATCCTGGTGATCTTGAGATAAAAGATTCCACGGAGTCTGACACATCCAGACCTGGGGTCTATTTTTTTGAAATGTAATGCATTAAATTACAATTACTTTGGAATTCTTATCATTACAATTACCATTAACATTACTGTAATTCAGAAAAGTAATTGATTGAATGACAATTACTTTCTTAAAGTAATGAATTACATTACACATAACTTTTTATAAGAGAAAAACATAAAACGTATGCCCACACAATTTATATCTATAAATTTACTTTCACACTTTTTGCTCGGTTAATATGATTTCCCTCGGATCTATAAAACAGAGTATTATTTAAATTTTGAATTCATATATCATTGTTCGTGTAGTTTACCAATCCTATCTACAGTTGACAAAGAAAGTTGATCAGAACACTTTCAGTGTAGTAGTTTTGTTCAATCTCTGATGTAAGTTTATCTGTTGTTGTTTTTAAAAATAAATTGATTAATTAAACATTTCCTACTATATGTTTTATGTAACTTAATATCTAATTAACAGATAATGCTATAAATGTAAAACAAGTATTAAAAAATTAATTAATTGATTATCACTTTATTAGCTGAATATGTATAATCAATGAAGCTATAAATTAACCACAACCAAAGGTGATAATTACAAGTACCTATATATAGGATTTGAATTTTTAGGCCTTAAGCTACCAAAAAGGAATGATGGACAATATATCAATATTTTCATTTGTATAAAAAATGTAATTGAAATGTACTTCAAAAGCATTGGTCATTACTGACATTTTTTAAAGTAATGCATTCCATTACAATTACTTGTAATTGAAAGATGGATCCATTACACATTACACACCATTTCTTTGAAGAAATGTAATGATTACAATGCATTACCATTACATATTACCATTACCACAGGTCTGGGCACATCTTTTCCATATTTGGATATTTTACTTGAAAAGACGTTAATGGTAATCTAATAACCAAGCTCAACGATAAACGCAATGACTTTAACTTTCTATCGTCAACTTCCCTTACTTATGCAGCAATATATCATCATCATCTGCATAGGAAGTTTATATATCTCGCTTAATTTGATACGAAAGACCATGCTCTACGTAAACAAAATTCCTAAAACGAGATAAATTATTGACAAACAAGTTGATGAACAAGAATATAACTGGTCTCATTTAATGTCATCATTTCGTAAGTTCTATGGTCTATACAACGGCCTTGTAAGCAAATACAATTAATCATTGAGTCGAAAGTTGACTGACGTTTTCCATACTAACTGTTAGTCTATTATTTATACACTGCATTGAAGACGGATTTTTCCATTATCTCCCGATCATGACAAGGAGTACACGGCTGGATGCTCACTCTTCCATGGCATCTTATCCCACATCTGATGTTTTGTAGGTCCCTATTTGCTCTGCTCCGATTAAATATTCTTTTATGGGCTTCTTAGCTTGCATACTGTTCGTTATCTCCATACCTTTCATTTAACTGTGTAAAAAATATGTACCGTGAAGGAGAAACTTCAGTCTAACTGTTTAACAGTTTATTTTAGAAGGGGTGTAAAACAGAAATGGATTTTCAAAAACTCAAAGTATTTTCAGGAACTTTAAAATCACCAAATATTTCAAATTAACGTTCTAACAGAACAAACCATGGAACTTTTATAATTTAAAACAAAATGAGCGAGGCACGGTTTATGAAATTCAATACTATAATTATATGTAATTAGATCCAGTTTTGATTGTGACTTAACAGCGGTTTTATCACCCACGAAGACATTGTAAGGTAATTAGTATGCATATTCTATGTAATTGTAATTATGCATCTATTCTGTGTTCTATTTTATTATTAATCAAAACTAAACCGTAATCACAAATATACAAAATTATCTCAAGCAATGACCAAGGAATTTTCTACTTTTTTCTTTTTTCAATGATATATTTCAGAAAAAAAACGCAGCACATTGCTTTGTTTGTATCTTTATTTCGGCTCCAGAAAATACTGACCAAGTGTTTCGTAAACTATTGTCTTGACATAACAACAGAAATTGAAAACCCAATCGTATGTACGTGAACACTTGTTGAGTGGTTTCAGTTGTAAAGGAGTACTTGAGGCTACCTTTGAAATGAAGAGTACTTGGGTAAAAGTACAAATCTTAAATGTACGAAAACTTTCAAAATATTAAGGATTTCTTATTAACTTAGTCACGAAATGTGTGAGAATCCAAGCATAATGAGCAATAGCACACGTAGGAAACGTCTTGTCCTATGTATACAAAATAGCGCATTTACAAACTTCCAATATATTTAAATATTTAGTTATTTACTTCATCTAGGTAAAACAAATACAGATATTTATCAGCACCAAGAAAAAAGGTCAAACATCTCAATTAAAGGATTTATGGAGAATACTGAGTGAAATGCAAACTTGTGCATTTAAACCGACTTAAACCAAAGATATAAGCAAATATACTCTGAATATTTCATCTAGTCAGAAACCAGAATCCAAGCTACCGTAAGCTTTTTATCCGGGAAAATGCATAGGCTAAAATAGACAAACACAACATTTTAAGCACAGTTCTATAATTTCTCATTATGATTTGAAAATTCTCCTTGCATTCTAACTAAGTTTATCTTTTGGTTGATTGAAACAAAAAAGGTTTCAAAACCCGTTTGTGTTTGTTTACAATTTCATAACCATAAACAAATCCTTCGCGGACGCTAAACATAGAAAGAACATGAAATACCCTCTATGCATGTAAATTGCTTATAGATTAAATAAAAGTTTTTATGATTATAGCACTTTACATATAAAAGTCGTAGTAGGCGAAATAATTGGACAGGGTGTTGTTTAATTATACACTTGTACACTTGTATTCCTTAAGTAGTTTCAGAAAGTTAAGATTCTTGAAGTGTAAGCACTTAAGTAATAAAAGGAAACTTTGAACAATAAGAAGTCTTTCAGACATATTTAGGATTCCAACAGAAACAACCTTCGGTCTTAACAAAGAGTCGTTTTCAAGTATTTGAACACAATGTCACGTGCGTATCTGTTAAATTTTGTATAAATACATTTTTGAAATAGAAACACTATTAAAACGTGAAGCTCTGCTTAAAGGAAGTTACAAAAGAGATGGGAACTTTGAGTCTTATTTGTCTGCTTTTCTCTATATATCAGACATTTGGTCAGCTGAATTCAAAAGAAGATGCTTTACAAGCAACAAGTGTATTGGATAGTACCACATCTGGTAAAGTATCAAAAGTATTTAGGGACATCTTGAATCAGGAAAGCTTAGTTCGGTTTTCAATGGTACAGAAAATGCAGAGTTTGATGTTGGATGTAGCAGATAGCAAAATTAATAATGAATATATGAAAAAGAAACTTAATGACGTAACAGAAGAGCTACACGCTGTTCACGCGAAGAATCGTCGAATGGAGCAGGAGAACGCCAGACTTCACCAGGAACTGAAGACCCTGAATGATCAAAATAACCATTCAATACAATCATTAGAAATACTCAAAAACCAAACTTCTCGTATCCAGAAAGAAAATGAGGGGATAGCTTTTGATACTACAGAAATTAAAAAACAGCTCGAAGAGTTTAATAAAACATTTGGATATTTAAATATGACAAATGAAGAAGTAAAAAAAGACTTTCAGAAGAATATTCAAGTTTTGAAGAAGGAGGTGAAAGAAAACAAAAACAGTAATGAAGCACAGCATTTAAGGTTAGATGATGTAAAAACTCTCTTAACAGAACATATTCAAAACTTTAATGAATCAAGGACTGTTTTCCAACAACAATTAGAAATTATGAACAAACGGATGGAGAACTTAGAAAAACACGATAACTTAAGTACACGTATTCAGACTGTTGAAGACAATTTACAAAAGTTTTCACTTTCAGTGAATGATATTCGTATCCAACTGCAGAAAATTGTAACAGCTGGTAAGTAATTCGTGTATAATACTACTACATAATGTATAAATACTGGAAATATAATTTCTAGTGATTATTTTTTAATTGTCCATCTTAAAATGAAGAGGGTGCTGTTTGTGGCCTCCTGTGGAAAATAAAGTAATAAATTCATTAATTGAAGGGAAAGAAGGAAATTTAATGTTGTAAGTGTTATCGTCAAATTGAATATAATTGCCTGGAACACATAACATGAGTAATTTATTCAAAGAAGCATCTTTTATTTTCTCATCCGAAAATTTGACAATTATAATTAAAATATTGATTCTTTGTGTTTTTACTAAGCATACTAAGTATCAAGAATATTTAGTAGCCAGGTTCAAAAGCCCAAAGCTATGATGCCAATCAAATATCTGTGACATAGATACAGTATTTAAGAAAACATCTTCATTTCTTAAATACTTACAGCTTAATTAAGGTGACGTATCTCTCTGCTTCAAATTTCATCATTTCATTGATGTTCGTCAACAACAGCATTAGATTCAAATGAAAAATCGTTTAAGATATGAAGCGTTGCTTACTTTTTCAGAGATGAATATAAACTTTCTGCATCTGAAATTTTTTCACATGCAACAATTAATGTAATTAAACGTTATGAGATAGAAATATCTCAATTTCAATAGTTTGAATGAAGTAAAATTAAAATACAGAAGTAATTAAAAACAAGAGGCTCATGGGCCACATCGCTTACCTGAGCACTAAGGGTAGGAAAAAGTAGAAAATGGCTTTTTATTGTTAAGTTTAAATCCAAAAGTAGTCCCATGACCAATCATGGATTTGCTATTTTTTAGAAAATGATTTTTTAAAGAATTTTCCTATATATATCTTTAAAAACTTTAGTCGGCCATTTTTGCTCAACCCTACCCCTGGGGGTCATGATTTGAACAAATTTGAATCTACACTACTTGAGCATGCTTCCATATAAATATGATGAATTATGGCTTTGTCAGTCTTGAGAAGAAGATTTTTAAAGAATTTTCCTATATATTTCTATGTAAAATTTTGGTCGGCCATTTTGGCCCCGCCCTACCCCCAGGGGTCATGATTTGAACAAACTTGAATCTACACTACTTGAGCATGCTTCCATATAAATATGATGAATTATGGCTTTGTCAGTCTTGAGAAGAAGATTTTTAAAGAATTTTCCTATATATTTCTATGTAAAATTTTGGTCGGCCATTTTGGCCCCGTCCTACCCCCGGGGGTCATGATTTGAACAAACTTGAATCTACACTACCTGAGCATGCTTCCATATAAATATGATGAATTATGGCTTTGTCATTCTTGAGAAGAAGATTTTTAAAAAAAATTCCTATATATTTCTATGTAAAACTTCGGTGGGCCGTTTTGGCCCCGCCCTAACCCCGGGGGTCATGATTTGAACAAACTTGAATCTACACTACCTGAGGATGTTTCCCCATAAGTTTCATCTTTCCTGGCACAGTGGTTCTTGAGAAGAAGATTTTTAAAATATGCCACCAAATTTTCATTAATTCCCAATTATCTCCCCTTGAATGAGGGCGTGGCCCTTCATTTGAACAAACTTGAATCCCCTTCACCCAAGGATACTTTGTGGCAAGTTTGGTTGAAATTGGCCAAGCGGTTCTTGAGAAGAAGTCGAAAATGTGAAAAGTTTACAGACAGACAGACAGAGAGACAGACGGACGCCGGACAAAATGTGATCAGAAAACTCACTTGAGCTTTCAGCTCAGGTGAGCTAAAAACTATTGGCAATAAAAAATAGTAATCAATATTTGTAACAAGCTCATATCTGATCTGAATGAGTTGACTGACTATATAATGGTTTTTATTACTAAATTGTGGTAAGATAAATCATTGG